GACAAGAAATGCAAAACCTGCCAACACATCTCCACCACCCCCACTATTACTACACCCCACAACAGAGCCATCAGCATCCCAGGATCTTACAGCTGCACCTCCAGAAAAGTAATATACCTCATCCAATGCACCAAATGCCCTGATGGAAAATATGTAGGAGACACCAAACAACAACTGCGCACCAAAATGAACGCGCACTGGAAATCTATCAAAAACAGAAATACCCAATTACCAATGGGGGCACATTTCTCACAGGAGGGCCACTCTCTCTCCAATCTCTCAGTCCTGATCCTCAAGGGAAACTTACACAACACTTCCCAGAGACGAGCCTATGAGCTCCATTTCATCAACCTCCTGGATACTAGAGATCAGGGACTAAACATAGACATTGGATTTTTGATACATTATAATCTTGCCTGGCAACTGACTCCCCAGCCCAGCCCCTGGCTTCTTCACTTTTCATTCCATCCAGGAAGAGCACACACCAGCTGCTGAAACCTCCTTAGCCTGACAAAGGGTTTTTGAACCCGAAAGCTTGCTTAATAACTATTCTCCAACCATTTGGGTTGGTCTAATAAAAGATATGAAATTCACCCAAGGAACCTTGTCTGCCAGATTCCTGTAATGGCATTTACCAGAGCGGGCTGGAAAAGTGTGCTCGGTTGGTGATTTGTTTGGTGCCAATACTTACAGTGACATTATAACTTTGTCTGTCAACCTGATGTCACTGCTTTGATCTCCCAGTGGCTGGGGAGCTGCAGCTGTAGGTCACTGTTTTACCTCCTGCTCCTCTCTCATTCTTGTGCTAGAAGTCCCGGTGCCGTGAGCCTCTGAACTCTGAATTTCCTCAGAGCTGACCAAGTACCTTCTCCAACAATATTCTTAAGTTTTGGTTTTGCATGAGGATATTTCCCCAAGTTTTACTCATTATGGCACTTAGGATGCTTCTGAAGGCAAAAACATAAATGATCTTTTTTTTTTCAGTGTTTTTTCTTTTATTCTGTGGCTGTCTCTAGGAGTGCTGGATGCTTTGATTCCCTAAATGTAAAAGTGGAAGGCAGCTCAGCAGAGAATTATTCTAAAGCTTCTGAGGGAAGGAGTCACAAATAATAAGAGTACTTCCCAAGTATAATAATGTATAAGAAATGTACCAGAAATGGGCAATCCCCTAAATCTCACTGTAAGCATGGGATGCCCACAGCTGGGGATCTACAGGACTATTGTAATGTTGTCCTGCCCACTATAAGTCACGCTCCAAGTTATCCTGGTAAAGGTTCTCAAGCAGTCTTTGTCTCCCCTCCAGTGTCTTGTTATTAATACGATGTTGATGCTTCGTAGATCTGAATTCCTGACCCTTAGTTGTGATGAAGCAATGCGTGACTAGTGGCCAGAGTACAGGTCTTGGAGCTGAAGATGTGGCCGCTGAAGATGTCCCCATTGCTCATGCAGCAGGAGAGAGCCCATCTGTGTGACATTGCTAACAGATATGCCTGGGCATGGAAGTGGTTCCTCTTCATTGGAGAAGAAGGAGTGGGAGCACGGGGAGACGGCTGCCTCCAGCAGAGGGGCTGAATGGTTGGTCAGTACTAGGTCCCAAAGCAAGGGCAGCAGTTGCCTTGAGAAAGTGACTTTAGGCCGGAAATCACTTTACATTGAATTGATCAGCACAGGGGGATCTAGTCCAGATTTGTCTCAGGAAGCTGTCATGCTACTGGCAATAATCATCGCCTACAAACTCAGCCTTCCCCCTGTTGACTGTGAGATGAAATAACTTCCAGATCTACCGCTGTTGGCCTGGACTGACCTGGTTAAAAGCCCAGTTAATAGGAAATTTTGGGCAGATCTAGATGTTGGTAATCATCTATCTAAGTAATCAGTGCTGGAACTGGCTTTGCATCTGAGTCTGTAGAAAGACTAATGTGAATTCTGGATCCTGATTCATAAAGACGTCCCAGCTAAAGACTGAGGTGCAAACTGGATGTAATCAAAGAAGGACAATGCTCTTCATCCAATACAATAATACCCTTTGACTTTCTGTTCTCCAGCAAGATCTGTGCCTTTACAATCATACATTTCTTCAACTCATGAATATAATAGTTTATAATAGGACTAGCAACCAGTGACATTCTTTGATTGTTTGCAGATGCATGTCAAGCACAAGTTCCAGACCATGATATATGGCCTTGTAAGGCAAATACCTTGTTAATATGAATGCTTACACAAGCCACTAGCAGTCAGATGGACTAAAATGATGTGATCATCCGCAGGGCTCTGAGGTGTTAGGTGCTAATCAGTAAATGAGGGAGAGGGGGACAATTTATTTGTAGCTACTCAGAGCAAAAGAGAAAGATCAGACTGCTATAAATATCCTGGGTGTCTTGCCCCATTCTCTTTGTCATGGACTAAATCTGCCCTAGGAAGATGCAAGGAAAGCTGTTTTAGTTCATGGGATTGGCTCTGGTTTAATTAGCTTGTTTAAGCCATGGCAGCTACTGGAAGGAAACGGGATTCGGTAAATGGGGAAAATATGTGGATCGAGATAGTGAATGTTACTTGCATCCTGCATAGATCAGCAGAGAATTAATTCACAGAGCTCATATTTCCGAATGTATGTAACTTCTTATTATATTTACTTTGAATGACATTTTGGATTTCAGATGGTTGCATTTGTTGGGGAAGTGCTGCCGTCTGTTGGCTACTAATTGGAAGCTCATCTTCAATGGTTTCATCACCTACTGCATTCTGTCTAGGGCTGAAAATCCCCGGGAGATGCCCACTGCTCAAACTTTTGTTTTGTCATGAAGAAGGATAAAATGTCAGCAAGTGGACGTTGTTCCAGGATAAAATACATGTCATATGCTTTAGAACATGAGAAACATTTCAAAATGAAACATGGGACTCTTCAGCCTCGAGAAGCGAAGGCTCAGGGGTGACTTGGTGGTGGCCTATAAGTATATAAAGGGTGTGCACCAGGAACTGGGAGCATTGGAGTACCCTAGTGAACAGACAAAGAAGGCAAGGTCCAAGGTCACAAAATGCTAGAAGACCGTTTTCAACTGAACATAAGAAAAAACTTCTTTACTATCCATGCCCTCCCCTCCTTTCCTCCCAGACCTGAATGACTGAGTGTAAACGAAGAAATACTCTAAGGAAAGCAAGTATTTATGCTCTTGAGATGCAGTCAGCCTGCTGAGGAAACTCATTGCAGGGTGAGAGATGAAGAGACCAGCCCCATGAAGTGGAAAAGGGGTCCCGGACAAAACAACTCCTACCACAGCCTCTTCAACACTAGACAATACACATCTTCTGACCCTTCCCCTCCTCCAAAGGATCCATGCCCCTAGTCCTTCTTGCATGCATCAGAGAAATGCCATGTGTGGTTCCATGTTATCCTGTTAGTGGCATTCGCTGCATCTTCCATGTTTGGTGACGAGAGCATCATGGACTTTTTTTGCAGCCTCTGCAGCCGTCCCAGCCTAGACCCAGACCTCCCTGCAGTGGTGCCGCCTTTAAAGCCCCAGGCTGGCCCTGCCTGCCACGGTGTTTGTGGCATGAGGAGGAAAAGGGATTGCTTGGTGTTCAGGAAGAAAATAAATGTTACACTGGAAGAAGAAATGAGCCCCCAATTTAGGGGAGGTTAAATCTCAGACTTCGGAGCAAACTCCCCTGGTCTGTGCACCTGGGCTGATCTGTCCTGCAGGCTGGGCAGCAGGGGCAGCGTGGTGGTGTCTGTGGGTCAGACAGTGATGTGTTTGTGTCCTGAGAAATCCCTGGAGCTGGGACTGAGTGTAGCAGTTGTTCAATCAAGTGAGTCTTCAGGAAGCAGCTGTGGTGCTGGGCTGGGCAGCATGGGGAGGTTTTTGTATGGGTTTGTATCACTGTGTGAGGTGAGCTGCGGGACTGGTGACAGTAATAATCTCCAGCATCTTCAGCTACCCCACGTATGTTGAGAGTGAAGTCAGGGCCAGAGCCACTGCCGCTGAACCGGGCTGGGACTCCTGACTGCCGGGTGGAACCACCATAGATGAGGAGCTTTGGAGCTTGCCCAGGTTTCTGCTGGTACCAGGCTAAGTGATGATAATATTTAGGGGTGTTGCTATCAGAGAAGGTATAAGTAAGGCTGGAGCTGGCTTTGCACTTGACGGTCACTTGATCTCCTGGAGAGACCGCCAGGGACTCTGGGGTCTGAGTCAGCACAATCTGCCCGGAGGAACCTAGAAGTAAAAACAAAAGTTGAAGTAACCTAGGTCTCCATTGGGCTAAGTAACCCGGCTAGACAATCTGGATGCTTTAGCAATGCTCCTTGTGTGCCCTCTTACAGAACTGAGTGAGTTTGTCTCGTGGCTGAGATGCTAACGTGCAGCCAGAAGTGCTTCTTTCCTTCTCGTCTTTTCTTCAATCCTCATCTAGAGTTACAACCTCAGCCCGTGGACATCCACGGAAAAACTTCTGTTCACTCCAGTGGGCTTTGGATGCTGGTCATAGAGATTAAGTAAGTCTTTTGACTCCATGGCAGTCCCTCCTTGTGAAGGGAGTGCATTTCTCTGAGCATTTTCAAGCACCCCAAAACCCAATTCTAGGTCTATTCATGTTTGTAAAAAGGATGGTTTTACTATAATGAACCTCTCAGTTTGCTGCTTACCCTGGACCCAGAGCACCACCAGGCAGAGCAGAGGAGCAAGTGAGACCATCTTGGTACGTGTGTCTGGCCTGCACTGATCACCAGTCTGGACCAAGTGCCCTGGAGCACTTATACTGGCTCTGAGCATCAGGAGGGTGTTGACTGGGTGTAAAACATGCAAATTTGGCTCAGAGATGATTTGCAAGAGATCTAAAAATAAGCTGTGAAAGGCATGTGGTGTTGAAGGGGGAAAACACAGTGGGTTCACAGAGCTGCTTCACTTTGTGCTGAGCTGGTATTTGTCAGAAATTGATGGGAAGAGGCTGTATTTTGCCCACCCCTGCACTAAACTGTAGCAAGTAAAATCATATTTACAAGCAACCTGTGTGTAAATGAAATAGAAATAGTACAGCAGGAAAAAATAGTCAGTTGGGAGCTCATCAATCCTCTCATCTCACTGCTCTGAAATAAGAAGAACTAGTTTCTGAATGGCAAGACTGCGGCCATTTCTGTTGAGGTCACTGGGCATCTGAATTGCACCAGTTTTACACTGTGGACTAATACTGGTTGAAGTGAACCCTAAATCAGCTCAGCGTTTGTCACTTGTATCCTAGAGAGAGACTATTTTTCCTAACACCAATTTATTTCCATTTTTCTCGATTGTGCCCAGTGATTCTCTAAAATGCAACAAAGGAAATTGAAATTGGATCTTGGGAAGAACTTTATCTCTAAGAGGGCAGGTAAGTGTTGGAAGAGGCTATCTAGAGGTGTCGTGGCCTCTCCATCGTCAGAAGTTTTTAAGAGCAAGTTAGACACTTGAATGATCAGGTTTAGCTATGGATGCTCCTGTCCTGAGCAGGGGACCTGATGTGGTCCCTTCCTGCCCTGCGAACCTGTGGTTTTGGTGGTTGTTGCATGCACTTTCTAGAATGACCGAGGGTCCAATGTGTAGTTTATGGGCTGCCGTCTCTTGACTGTAACACAGAAATTCATGCTCTCAGCTGTTTGCATGTGAAAGTCTATCTGTAAGCTTACCTGGGACTAACTACAGTGTCTTCAGACATGCCCTTGGGTAATGACTGGATTTAAATGAGGTTTGATAATATGTTTAATTAAAACAGTCAGTGCTAGCTCACTCTACACCTGCACTTATTTCTCCTCTTATGAGACCCTTGCTGCAGTTACGGCCAATATCATGTCACTTGATTTGACTTTCCTATTGAAGTGAAGACAAAGCTGAAGATGAAGGCAATGGAGGGGGCACACGATGGACTTTGCTGCTGATCAGAAGTCTGCTCACAACACAACAGTCACACTGAACTGAACAGCACAAGCAGGATTTTGTGCCAGTCTGTATCCTTGTGAGGGTGAGAGACGGGGCTGGTGGCAGAAATAATATCCAGCTGGTCCTGCTTCAGTCCTGCTGATTGTGAGCATGGAGGCAGGCCCAGAGCCAGTGCCGTTGAACCAGGCTGGTACGGCATGTTGTTGGATGGTGGCACTATAGGTGATGAGTTGGTCTAGGTTTCTGTTGGTTACAGACTATGAGATCCCAGACTGAAAATTTAAGGTTTGAGTTGTCTTTATATTGAATTATGGCTCTGTCTCCTGGAGACCCCAGCATGGATTCTGGTGTCTGAGCCCAGGTAGTCTTTCCATTTGAGTCTGAATGGGTCAACACGCTAATAGTGCACGGGGGTGTGCGTGTGTGTGAGAGAAGTAAACGCCAGGGAATTTATCTTTTATAAACATTACCAAATGTCTCTTTATGTAGTTCCTATCCTTGAATTATTCCCTTCATTCTCTCCCCTTTTTCAGTTAGTCACTTTACAGCCTAATGCAAAGCCTTTGAAGCCCAGGGAAAGTCTCTTATTCACTGTGCTGGACTTACTGTCAGGACCTAACTGCTCTTGAAATAACACAAGGATATGCAGAACACTCTGAGGAAAGTGTGAAGTTTGATAGATTAATAGCTAAATATTCTTAAATCTAAAACATAATCTTTAAAAACTTTATAGAAGAAATATAGGATTAAAATTCCTAAACTCCTAAAATACAGCTTTCCATCACAACAGTACTACTTTCATAAGTCTCTTTCC